TCAAGGAAGTGTATATCAAAGTAGTTTACTCCCCTCTTTGAGCCAATTAAAAAGAATGGCCTCAAAATTCGGTGGCGCCCTCTTCGAAAAAGCGCTAACTTTGCGAAGAGGGTTACCGTGCTTGTGTGAAAAACGATAAAAAGTGAAGCTAACCAACTGTGCTATTCCTATTCTGCTTCTGGAGAAACGAAAGAGAACGTCAAAACAAAGACTGCAATCTGAAACAATGCGCGGACTTCCGTGGACATTTTTTAGGGCTAAGTGAATAATCTTTTTATGTACGATCTGTGGATTGATCCAGCACTTCGATACTTTCGGGAAAAGAATAGAGGAGGAGGGCGTTGACCTCCCCAATGATCGCACTCCTTTCTTTGAGCCTATTAAGAAAGTGTGCTCAAAATCCGGTGGCGCCCTCTTCGAAAAAGAGCCCACTTTGCGAACAAAGTTGCCCTACTTTTATTGTGTCCAAAAAAAAAAAGATCAAAGTGAAATGAACTTAACTACATGTAGTTTTATAAACTAGAATTCAAAATTCGGAAGAATACTCTTTCTAAATGGTTATGATGACAAACAGCCTCTTTTCAAGTGGAAGGAGAGACTGTTTTCGTGGTCGAATTTGGCGTTAGAATTAGAGGCGAGAGGTCATTAAATAATATTTTTTAAACCCCAAAACTCCGCCCTGAGCGGACCCGAACAGCTCATTTTAGACCGACGAACAGCTGCTGCAGTCGATCTGTACGCGCAAGGGAATGCTCTTCCAATTCTTCTTCTGGAGAAACGGAAGAGTGTTTTAAAGCAGCAGCGAGTGCAGCGCCATCTGAAGCAATGCGCGGACTTTCGTGGACACTTTTTTGGCAGAGTGAACCATTTGGTGGTGTACGATCTTTGCATCTCATTATACAGGGTGCCCATTTGGTGATCGGGTCTATTCAGGGCGGTTTACTAGCCAGATTGAGAGCGCAAAGCGGCTATCGTGGCACAAGCCCATCGAGCCGACTCGTCGCCTCATAAAACAAACGTGTTTGTTTTCAGGCGATGAGTCGGGCGATCGCCCCCGATTCGACCCGACCCGGCCCGATCCCATCCGCAATGTGCACCCGACGCACAGGACTCCATCCGCTCTGATCGTACTTTTGATGAACGGGGATCCTCTCCCAGCCTAAGAGTCTAAACTATAGTGTGGTTAAAAATGCATGGCGCAACTAATGTTCAAATATCCCCTCTACTGTTGAACATAAATTCTCCAACTTTTGCATACTGACTTATATTAATTTGTCTTAACTGGTGAATATTTTTTCAAACACCTGTTAGCTGGATTCTAGAAAATTCTTTAATAGATACTAATAAAAAATCCAAGTGGGTGGTTTATACAGATTTTACAAGATTTACAGCTGGGGCAATATTCCTTTTAAAACAAAGTTCGTCATGTCTTTCTAATCTCGACACTATTTTTATTGAACGAATGCTTTGAGAAACTATAGTCAAAAAACTGTGTTCACTATAAAAATGTATTTCTTGTAACAAGTTTTGCTACTAAAAAGTGCCATTGATGAACTGTGACGTAGGCCATATGCGTGTATACAAAATGTGTGTGAGAAGCGGGAAGTGCTGTGAACAAAACCATCTTCCGCGTGAAAGAGATTTATGGTATTTTATATAAATTTACGAAGAAACGTATTTTAATCTAGCCTCAATTGTTGTGCGAAAATATGATTAAGTTAAGACAAATTGATACAAACTGCGGTGCAAAGCTTGAGTGACGGTGATTCACCCGTTTAAGAGATATTTGAAGATAAGTTGCACCACGAATTTTTGACCGCACTATAGTTATCGCTCCCACGTCAACTTGGCTGGTGGACAAGAGATGAACGTCTTGGGTAACTTTAGTTTGTTAAATCCACTCGGGTTTTCAGCACGCCCTGCGCTCAGTCCGAAACTTTATTTATTCCAGCTCCAATCCTGGAAGAGGTATTTCACTGCTACACGAAATTTCTACCAATTTTGCATTTTTCACGCCTTATTTAAAGAAATTATTGTTTTGTTAATGTCTTTCATCGAGTAAACAGTTTTGACATTTTAACATTATTAGTATATTATGTGGATAGGTTAGGTTGCTTTATTAATGCCACTTTTTCATCTTCTTTCTCTTTCCTTTCCCGCTTTTCTACTTTCATCCCCCTCCTTCTTTTTTTATGTTTTTCCATCCTGTTGTTTTTTACTTGTCCTCTCTCCCTTCTTCCCCTTCTCTCTCTCCTCGCTCTGTCTCTGTCTCTGTCTCTGTCTCTGTCTCTGTCTCTGTCTCTGTCTCTGTCTCTGTCTCTCTCTCTCTCTCTCACTCTCACTCTCTCTCTCTCTTTCTCTCTCTTTCCCTCCCTCTCTCTCCCATCCCCCACCCCTCTCTCTTTCTCTCACCCAAACCCAAACACAAACACACACACACACACACACACACACACACACACACACACACACACACACACACACACACACATACACAGCGCTCACGCATCCACACACTCACACACACATATATACACACACAAAAACACACACTCACACAAAAACACACACGCACGTCCGCACAAACACACACACTCACACACACACTCAGACACTCACACACGCATACACACACATATTCTCTCTCTCTCTCTCTCTCTCTCTCTCTCTCTCTCTCTCTCTCTCACACACACACACACACACACACACACAGACACTCACACACACAAACACACAGACACGCACGCACACACACCCACACACAGACACGCACACACACACGCTCACAGTAAAAGAAGCCTTCCATCCTCCTCAGACAACGGACGCAGGCAATAACCAAGGGAAACAACAAGTGTTGCCTATCCTGACATCATGAGAGCATGGATTGTTCCCCTTTTGCTGGTAGCTTTGACCAGAGGTAGGTCGTCCTGATCCCAGGCCAAAACTGCTTCCACGTAACAACAACAACAACAACAACAACATCAACAACAACAACAATAATAACAATAATAATAATAATAATAATAATAATAATAATAATAATAATAATAATAATGATAATGATAATAATATTAATAATAATAATAATAATAATAATAATAATAATAATAATAATAATAATAATAATAAGGGGTTTGGAGGAAAGGGGGAGGGGGATCGCCTGGTTTTACACGTAAAATTACAGAGAAAAAGGAAGTTTGGTGACTTTTATGTGCCTGTGATTAACGTTTTCCAGTAAAAATCCACTCTGAAACGTGTTTTAAAAGAACACAAAAAATGTGTTGAGCCAAAAAAACAACAAAAAAAACCACTTTGATTTCAAAAAGTGTCCATTAGGATTAGGTGCTAAAATAACGAATTTTGCAATTTCAGAATTTTGACGAGCGTCTGATTTCAAAGGGTTCTGAAAATTGTGTGTCCATTGCATTATATGTTTTTAGATACATAGACTCTATTATGTACATAAAAAGACAGACAGACAGACAGATAAGCAGACACATAGACAGACAGACTGAGAGAGAGAGAGAGAGAGAGAGAGAGATAGAGAGACAGACAGACAGACAGACAGACAGACAGACAGACAGACAGACAGACAGACAGACAGACAGACAGACAGACAGACAGACAGACAGACAGACAACTGGACAGATAGACAGAGAAATAGATCGAAAGATAAGACACCCCCGTCCCCGTCCCCGTCCCCCGTGCCCCCCCCCCCTGTGTTACCAATATTATGATCTACCTTCCCCTCCACCCCCACCCCTCCCCCTGTGTTACCAATGTGATTATAACGGTTAGAACTCTTCCTGTTGTCCGTGTCAAACGTCTGGGTTGAGTAGTTCCTGGAAGTAATTTTCCTATCTTTTCTTAATGGCATGCTTGCTGAGAATGGCATTACCCTCTTTATCGTTTATAATGCATGTCGGGTTGTATGGATCTTTCCTTACCCCCATGCTGTTAACACTTGTATAAAACGGTCTAGGGTTTTCCTTGCAGATTTTGGTTAGTTTCCGCTAAATATTTTCCATGCATTTTCTTTAGCAGTTTTGATGATTCTTCTGGTCTCTCTTCTCGCTTTCCTGTATTCTATATAGTCCTCTTCGGTCTTTAACTTCTGCCATTTCATGAATATCTTCTTTTTAATTCTAATTGCTTCTTTGGTTTCGTCATCCCACCAGCATGTTGTTCTGCCTTTGTCTCCGCCTATTCGCTTGGTGCCACAACTGTTTTTTAGTTTTTCTGACAGGGATTTTTTGAAAGTTTGCTATTCGTCTTCTACGCTTTGGTCTCAGGTGACAGCTTATTGTACTCCTAGATAATTCCATCTTCGATTGCCATTTTGATGTCTGGTTCTTCCAATTTTCTTATGTCGGTCGTGGCTTTTCCCCTGTTCTTCTTTGTTTGCTTTACATTGCTGGTTGTGAGAGTAAGTATCACAGGTCTGTGTTCCGTGTCGATGATGTAGTTTGGAACAGCTCTCGAGTCTTTGGCGGTATGTCTTTGTTTTCTGTGCATCAGGATGAAACCAATTTGTGGTGCATGGTTCTGGTCATTCCATCAGTGCCAGGTCTTGATTTGGCTTAGTCTGTGTTGGAAAAATGTGTTCGTAATCATCATGTCGTGCTCAGCGCATAAGTTTAGTATCATTTCTCCATTGCTCTTGCATTCTGTATCTTTATCACTGTGGGCTCCAAAGTACTCCTCCCAGGGTGTTCTTCTATGTCCAACTCTCCCATTTAAACCTCCCAAGATAAATATATCTTCTTTGTTCTTGGTGGTGTTAATGTGGTCACTCAGGTCTTGGAAATACGATTGTCTGTCTTCTTTTGTGTAGCTATCGTTACAAGGATCATATGAATCGATGAACGTTGTTGTTTTGCCACCCTCTAGCAGATTTGTGCTCACTATTCTCTCTGACATCTGATTGATTTCATATATTGTATCCATTTTGGCTGGGTGTATGATGAAAGCTACACCATGTTTGGCTATCTCATTTTCAGGTGTTCCACTCCAGATCAGGAGGTAGCCTTAGGCTAGTACCGCACTGCGACAGTTTGTCCAGGGACAGACCCGTCGGGATTTTGAAACCTTTGAATTAGAGTGTAATGTACCACACCTGCTGGGATTCTTGTCGATTTGAGTCCCGAGCAGTTGTGAATTGCTACAAAATCGGTGGGACAGGACAATCCCAGTCCTGGGTAAATATCACCTGTGATTATAGAGAAATATAGCCGCATGCCGCATTAGGACAAAACTGTCTCAGACTTGGTGGCGCCAGCTGTCAAGATCGTGGAGCTTGCGCGTTGTGGCGTATAATCACTTTAAATTTTGCCTCCGTGAAGGATTAAACTTGGGGTTCAACATTTCGAAAATGATTAACGCATCTCTAAACTGATTTCCTATTCGGAATCAGCGTCTCAAGATAAGCAAAATGGCTCGCGGAGAACCTAATTTGATGCGATACTATGTAAATTTTAGCAAATATTTTTTTTAATTAATCGCCAATGGTGAAGTTGTGTATCAAGGTTTTGCATCTCGATCCACAACTTTATTGTCAGCTGCAGTCGCTCGGTTGTTTCTAAAATGTCTATTCTCATCAAAATGGCTGTTGATCCAAATTGGATAGAAAACATTATTTGTGCAGTGGAATATAAAACATGTTTGTACAACAAGGCTGATGTTGGCTGTTGCAATCGAGACATAAAAGACAAGATGCAATCTAGATCTGGCCTAGTACCGGCCAAATGGTGAAACACGCACGCACACAAAAATTGTAATTTATTAAAATTTAACTTCATAATCTGGTATTAAATTGAGTTTCTCGCGTGCTTTTTGCTAGTTTTGGGGGTCGCTGATCACGAAAATCTTAATACTTTTTTATTTGGGCAATACTTAGGACATTTTTAGAATGCATTTTTAACTCCGCCTTGGGCAACAACACAGAAGCTGCCTAATGCGCCGGGTCAGTCCTGTCCTAGTGCGGTATCTGTTTTGATACATAAAAAATCGACGGTGAGACAAGAGTGTCGTAGTGCGGTACTAGCCTTATGGGTCAGCTTGCTGTGGTTGCCTCTCTTCCTTATGTCTGACAAGCCCATGATTGCAATTTTCTTTCTTTCCATGGAATTCTCTATTTCTGGTTCTTTGTCACCAAGTCCGCTGACATTTCATGTGCCTATTTTAATTGTTGTACTTGCTCACTGTCAGTTTACTTTTCCTGGTCTTTTTCCGCTTGAATCAGTCCCCGTGTGTTCTCCTTTGTTTGTCTCGTAGCATTAATCCGCGGTTGGCTTGCTAGGCCGATTACGGTTTAGCCAGCAACGTTTCGGGGGGGTCACGGCAAGACGTTCAGTGACATTTAGTCAAAGTACACTATATACTTCACCCAGAACCAGCTATCCCCTACTTTGTCGTGTTTCCACCTCCCCCGACGGGGATGAAGGGTTCTATATTTGGAGGCTCCCTAGTGTTGCCAATGTGTCCCCCGTCCTTTGTTTACCAATTTGTGAGGCAGCGTGGTGGAATCAGGCTCTCGTCCATTTTTGGGCATGTAGAGTTATTGGTATCATATTACAGCTTGTTCACTTGTCTTCATTTGGATGAAAAAAAAAACATCATTTATCTTGAATACAAGTCGATATATTTGCAAAAGAAGGAGGTGGGGGTCACTTGTTTTCAGAGGTAAAATTAGTGAGAAAATGGCCACCAAAAATTAGTTATTTCCTTAGCTTAAGAGTCCGTGGTAACTGCAAATTTACATTTTGTGTGCCTTTAATCAACGTTTTTCAGAAAAATCCACACAGAAATGAGTTTTTTAATGGGCATGAAAGATGTTGATAAAAAAATTGATAAAAATTCACAAACCTGCGGAAAAATGCAAGTTTCTTCACTTTGATTATTTTGACGAGAGCCTGATTCCGCCACGCTGCCTCAAATTTGATTCCAGGTGACAGCACAAGGGAAATGTGTGAAATGGTCGCCTATCCTGGTAGAATCGCTGATCCTAGTACAGCGGACTATTCAAGGAACGTAACAGACGGACAAGTACGTACTTCAGAATTACAAAGCTCTATCTGACGTTTTTGACCATTTTAAGTTTCTCAGATCATGAGGTCAGCAACCAATAAATGTTCTATCGCCTCTATCAAAATCGTAAGATTATTCTTTGTCGTTATCAGGTTTTTCAATGAATTGCATTCGAAAAAGCTTGACGTGTTATGAAACAAAAATGTTTTACTTCAAGAGTTCTCAAAATTATCTGGGCAGATAGTCTAGAACTTTGTAATTCTGAGGTAGCGAGGTAGGTATAGCTCGCCATGTCCATTCATAAGCCTGCGTGCGTCCCTGGCGTTGTCATCGTCGTCATCACCGTCATCATCATCATCATCATCATCATCATAATAATCATCATCATCATCATCATCATCATCATCATCATCATCATCATCATCATCATCATCATCATCATCATCATTATTATTATCATCATTATGATTATTATTATTATTATTATCATCATCTTCATCATCATCATCATCATCAATCATCATCATCATCATAGTCGACGTCGTTACTACTGTAAAAATGACAATTTTTTTACTGTGAAAAAAGGGGAGGGGGGGTTGTAAGTGTGTATTTGTGTTTGTGTGTGTGTTTGCGTGTGTGTGTGTGTGTGAGTGTGTGTGTGTGTGTGTGTGTGTGTGTGTGTGTGTGTGTGTTACAAGAAGGAGAATAAAAAGGGGGGAGGGAGTGTATGTTGTTCATGTGGGGTATATTAAGCACTTTCCCTTAGAACATATGCTTATTGGTCAAATTGGTCTGATTTGGATGTGTCACCGATAAGTGACAGGAGAATAGTGTTAAAGAAGAAAATAAAATTATCTAGGCAAAAGACAAAGAAAAATAAAGACGAAAATGGAAAATTGTGACCACTGTCCTCTTCCACCTGGAGTAGGCCTATCAATATTCATTACTTACGTTCACAATAATATTAATCTTACTCTCACTTGACCTATTTAATTTAAGTACCCAATCAAAAGCCCTATTATCTCTTCCTACAATTGGTCGCTTTTAAGGACAAGCGGGCTAACCCAGATTTCGTTGGTTTCCAGATATCTTGACCCAATACCAAAAACGGGCATTTCCCTACCTAAAGGAGAAGTTTGGTTTTATAGGTGTGTATATTTGATTGGTTATAGAGAAAACTCTCCTTGTATTTTATAGAAACTAAACAAGGGGCAAAAACTTTACCTCCGATGTTCTCAAAACAGCATTTTTCGTGATAGCCCCGTTGTGCTTAAAAGAGACCAATTAAATGGTTCATCTATCCATACAAAAAAAACATTGTCCATTTCTACAACAATGATGCCACATCCACAAAAAGCTCACTTCTTGTATATCAGGACGCTTTGCTGTAAGGAAGGGAGGTTGTTGTGGGGGGGTTTTTTTGGGGGGGAGGAGGGTCTAAGTTAATTTCTACCAAAACGCCCCCTCCCCTACCCAATAATATCTCCCTTTTGGTATTTCGTAAGAAAGAAAAAAAGGGAGAACGGGGGTTCAAGATAATTTCTATTACAATGACGCACCCCCCCCCCCTCCTTTTTTTTTCTCTCATCGCCACCTCCGACTCGCTCCTGATATTATTTCGGGACACTAAACAGTCTTGGAGAAGAGATGGGGTAGTTCCAGATTAATTTCTACAACAATGAACCACGCCCCCCCTTTCCAAATCTCACTTCAGGATCTACAGGCTTGTATGGACATGTGTAATGCCAACTCGTCTTGCAAATCCACCTTCCTGACTGACGATCAAGTGTGCCACTTTTGGCCCCGACAGCAAAGCCTTTCCGATGGAAGCTCGTCCGGATACGCCATAAAATTATGCTTCAGTCCGAATGGTGAGGAAGGGCATGACTGTGGAAGTCGCAGAGGGG